ATTCTCGATGCTTACCTTAGTGGTCCTGGAAAGTTACTGAAGAATTTTGAGGAAGAGGGCAAGGAGGGAAAGTTTACAAATATTTTGGAGCAACTTCAGTTTGAATCAAAGGTGAAGAAAAAATGAGCATTTAAAAAAAATTATGTGTTTGGTACAGGGTCTCACTATGCAGCTGGGATTCACAGCAATCCTCCTGTTTTCAGCCTCCCCAGTGCTGGGATTATAGGTGTGCACCACCATGCATGGTTTCGGTAGCTGGCTCAGCACACTCAGGGTTAGGGCTGATGTGGCATGTGGAACCAGGGATCAAACCCCAGTCTCTGTGCTTGCCTAAGCAGGTGCTTAGTCCACTGAGCTATCTTGCCAGCTCTTAAGAAATGAGCATATTATTTAGAAGACTTTCAGCAGCACAAGCAAGGGATAATGAAATAGACTAATATGTATGGGATTATAGGAGAAGGATATGGACTTGAGAAACACTTAGGAGGTAGGAGCCACAGGACTTGGTTTGATAAATGTGGGAGGGAATGGAAGAGACTAAGAGAGTCAACTCTTGTTTTCAATTTAGTGAGCTTTTACAATGTGCTGATACTTTACCAAAATTATTTCATATAATCACTATACAAGTTTAATGAAGTAGACTGTGTTATTTTCCCATTTTACAGATAGCATATCAATAGTTGGAAGCTAAATAATGTACTCATGACAATAACTAATAAAATGGTGAGCCGAGATTCCAGTGCTGACAACTGGATCTAGGACCTGTGCCTTTCTGGATGGTGGCAAATACAGAGTAGGGAGAAACCATGTGCGAGTAGGAGGCACCCAAATGCCAGGAGGACAGAGGCCTTTCTGTTGTCACTTACTGTAATGCTATATGTTACTATGTACTTTATAAAACTAATGTGTATTACTGTTTTGGCAAAAAAGCTGATCATTCTTCTGCGAATGCTACCTTGAATCAATTTAAAAATCAACAGTTGAAGAGTTTAAAGTATTTGCATTAATAAAAGGCTTAAATACTTGGGTTTTTGTTGATTTGTTTGCTCACATCGTAGTCATAACCAGCACCAGGCAATGAAGAATTTCACCAGTTTTTAATTTTTTCCTATCTTTTTTTTATTTATTAGGCACAGGATCTCACTGTACAGTTTGGATTCGTGGTGATCCTTCTGTCTCAGCCTCCCCAGTTGTTGGGATTACAGGGGAGGATTACAAGCCAGCACATCTAGTTTTGGTGGCTGGCTTGGCATGTGGTACTGGAAATTGAACATAGGTCCTTGTGCTTGCCAGGCAGGTGCTTAGTATGCTGAGCTATCTCCCTAGCCCTACCATTTTTAACTAATTTTACTAATTCATTGAGAATAGGTGAAGAACCTCATTTAACTAGAAGCTAAAAATCAACAACTTAGCTTCTTTTGTCATTAAGAGCAAAAGCAAGAAAATTAAATATGAACATGTCATTACCACATAGATGTTGGCTTCACAATGACTGATTTTATGTCCTTGGGCTCTAATGGCCCTCTTCTTGGGGTTTAAGACTTTGTATCTGAGGTTTTGTCATTTTAAATAATTTTATATTTGAATTTGTGTTGTGGAAATGAAATCCAGTGGGGCAAGGCACATGGGCTGGGCTTGGAGTTTCAGGCCATGTGAAGTCCCTTCAGCTGTCTGTCTCTTGGCATAAGTTTTCAACTATCAGCCTTCTGGTCCCCTGAGCTCCCTGCTAACCTCTGTCTCTCATCACCACTGTTGCCATTCTCCTGAGCTTGAGTTGTATCAGGAGGGGAGGTATACACCACCTTCACCTTCTTCCCCAGATGGAATGAGGAAGGAGGCCAGAAAAATGGTCAGCGTGGAGCAAATACCCTGTTGCACCTTGGGAGGCAAGGCAGAGGTCATTTCTGATAAAGGTGGCAAGCACCTGGTACGTTGGATGGGCTGTGCAGTGGTAGCTTCTTCTTCATCTCCAGTTCATGCACCAGGTACATGCCAAGTATACAGAAGTTGGGATCTCTTAGGGGCCACCCATCTACCATCAAGGTGGGAGAAGACCCCTCCCCTAATGTGAGAAGGAGGGATTGCCTTCTCCACTTTCATTTTCATTTTTCACTTGGTTCCTACAGGTTATGTAGATGGCCCATCTCCACAATCACTCGGCTTAGTTTGTACATAATAAATGCATAGAGTGAACTTTGTTAAATATGAATACAGCAGATGTATAAATGTCTGTCATAATCATAATGCAAGTCCATTGCTTTAAAACATAAAAAGAAAAAACATAAAGTTAGAACATAAAATGATAATTTTAGAATCTGATTAAGACTTGTGTATTTTATTCATGGTTAAAAACCTCGATAATAAAAACAAATCACTAGCAGATTATCATGTAGAGTCTTATTTCAGCTTTGATGATGAAGAGCAATTGTGTAGCGAGGGAGACAGTGTAGTTGAAAGCTGCACTAATGTAGTATGGATGCTAAATCGTACACAAGATGAGAAAGGTATTTTCCTTGAAATTCAAACAAGCTACATTTTATTGAGAAGCATGACTTCTGTGAAATTAGACAGTTTGAGTTTTGAAATAGACAACATGCTATAGCAGTTGCCAGAAGAATTTATATGATTTTGATATTTGGTTTTATGGGCGTGGAGACTACTGGCCTTCTGGTCGCCTTTAGCTGTGCCGCCATGAATAATACTCTCTTTAGTATACTGATTGATACTTTCTGACTTTGAAAATTAGGGAAAATATTAGCATACAATATGTCAAAATAGTTACTTAAACAAAATAACTATTTTTAAAAGAGTATAAATAAAAACCGCACTTTCAGTATACCCTAATCTCCGCTGTCCTTGTGCCCAAAATTTAAGTCATCCAAATTTTTCTGAAATTCTAATTCCTCATTAATTAAAAAAAAAACAAAAACAAAGACTTTGTACCTTGGCAACATGAGTTAGTAAAATTGAACGAACATTCTGTAGAAAAATTCAAATTAAATAGCTGCTCTATTTGCACTAAAAAGAATGAGAATGTTCAGTGGCCAACCACTAAAAAGGTCCAAATACATCTTCTTTGTGTTTCATAAATTATATTATAATTCTAGCTTGTCACTGTCACCTCAAAGTGTCCTGGCTTCAGACTAAGCACCTGTTTTAGTAAGCACAGTGACCGGGGTTTGATCCTCAGCACCACATGCCGTGCTGACTCCACCCCCTTGTGCCTGTTGACCCAGTCACTGAGTCTGGACATGGTGGCACATGCCTGTAATCCCAGTGCTGGGGAGGCTGAAAACAGGAGGATCCCTAGGAGTTCAAACTTCAAAGTGAGACCCTGTACCAAATACATTTAAAAAAAAAAAAGTGTCCTGGCTTTGGAACTACTCTTTTTTGTATGTCCAATAAACTTCTACCTAACTTAAAAATTGACCTAATTTTATTTTTGATACCCTAAACTTCTTAAACCTCTATGTAACTGGGCTGCATTTTTATACTTATGGCTATATTTTGTATGACTCTCGCAAATTAAATCATGTTAATATTATAGCATGCAGGGCCAGGGATATAGTTCAGTAGTGTAAGCACCTCTCTGGCAAGTCAAAGGTCCTGAAAAAAAATCTGAAAATCACAATATACAATTTGAAAAACCAAAAAAACTCGAGGTCCTTAGTTTAATTTTTAATACAAAAAAATCTGAATATTGCAATACAGTTTGAAAAACCAAAAACTGTATCTCTCCCTCAAACTTTCCTCTTTTGGTTACATCAAAGATGATCTTCAGCACTTGTACTTTTTAACACCGTATATTGACAGTTAAATTTTGGACAGGTACGCACAGCTGAGGTTGGCATACACTGAACATGTGCCTCCAGATTTTTTTTTAAATGATAACTTTATTTAAGTAGCTCTTTTGCTATATTTCTTGTAATTTCTGGCATTGCTCCCAGGGTGCAACCAGGCAACACAGGTGAAGACAACTCCGTCCTCCTCTCCTGCAAACTAAGGAGCAGCTGTTTTCAGCCAGTACCTCTCTCTGCCACCTGAAGTGCAAGGAGGTCACCTTGCCTCCTCTCCTCACAGCTTTCCCTATTTCTTACGAGAAGGCTGGGTTGAAAGCTATGCTTGCTGCCCATCTTTTCCTATGTGTTCTTGGGTGCAGATACCATGGTAGACACAGAAAGGAGCTTGACCATGACCCTTCTCTTTCCTGGTTCCATGCCAACATTGACCAATGTTATACAGTGGGTCATCAAAATATACTTTGAATATTCAAATGTACATAGTAAGAGACAGATTGCCATTCATCTCCTCAGCATCCCCCACTCACTTTTAACACACCGGTCCTACCATTCTGGCCATTCTTGAAGCAGTTCTGAAGTTCCTCTTGCACATCAAATATACAGTTAATAGTACTCTTGAGCACCATCCAATGAAGGTCAGGCTTGTAAAAACATTACGTGTGTCCTCATCCACCCTGTTCACCAGATTTTGCACTATGTGACTTCTGACTTGTCCCCAAAGCCAAATGGCCATGAAAAGTGATCATCTTGGACTGATGAGGGACATCAAGGCCATGTGACAAGACATGAAAGAGGCCTTCCATGACTGCTTCAGAAAGTGGCAAAAATGATAGGATCAGTGTGTTCCAAGCAAGAGGGAGTATTTAGAGGATTAATGACAATGTGTCTTTTATTGTAATAAGATTTTTAAGTATTTACCCTATTTTTAAATCACACTTTATAATTATTTCTTAAGATGTATTTGGTACAGGGTATTGCTACAGACTCTTAGTGATCCTCCTGTTTTCAGCTTCCCCAGCACGGGGATTACAGGTGTGCACCACCATGCCAGGTCTTGGTGGCCAGCTCAGCGTACCTAGGGGGAGGCCAGCACAGCATGTGGGATCCAGCATGGAACCCCAGTCCCAGCATTTGCCTAAGCAGACGCTTAGTCTGCTGAGCTATCTCATCAGCCCATGTAATTAGCTTATTTTCTCTTAGGTGCCTCACTCCTGATGCAGAAGCCCGCCCAGATATTGTAGAAGTCAGTTCGATGATTTCAGATGTCATGATGAAGTATTTAGACAACTTATCTACATCTCAGCTAGCTTTGGAGAAGAAATTGGACCGGGAACGGAGGCGCACACAGAGATATTTTTCGGAAGCCAACAGGAATGCTGTCACGTGTCATCATGAGCTGGCTCTGCTGTCTCATGTAGGTACAATTCTCTTGATCTCTCCATAATGCACTCTGGCAGTTGTTCCTGAAGTTAATTCTGCTTGTTTGAATGAAAATGAATCTATAGGTAGAAAAATATATTCTAACCTCAAAACTAAAATAACTTGATATAACTGACCTTCCATAAAAGAAATCCAGAATTTATTGTACATTGTAAAATCAGAGATACTAAAAGCTCTCTTAGCATTTCTTCGAGTTTGTATTATAGTTTTGGTATAAATAGTGCTGAGTGCTTTTATTTCATTTCTTCAGCAATCTGATTGCATCTTGTGAGAACATGGATGAAAATGTGAGTGAATTCAGAGAGAGAAGTAACATTCATTTCTTAAAATTTTCTTATTAGTCTTATTTAGTTGCTTTCACTATTGTTTGTAGTGATGATGTCATTGCTGGTTTTGAGTTGGAGTTTTAAGTTTTTCTTGCCAATAACCTTTAGAATATTTGGATATTTAAGCATATTTGTGAACATGGACTAAAGAAGTGATGTGAAAACTACCAACTTGCTTGTGTATAAGTGGTTAGGCCAGCAAAGCTATTGTTGTTGTCTTACTTATCTGCTTCAGTGCTCTTATTGTAATCTTTTTTTAAAAAAATTATTTATGTGTGTGTGTGTGTGTGTGTGTGTGTGTGTGTGGCCAGCTCAGCCCACCAGGGGGCGGGGCTGGTTGGCATATGGTGCTGGGGGATCAAACCACGGTCCCTGTGCTTTGCTAAGCTTGTTCCAAGTAGGTGCTTTAGACCACTGAGCCATCTCACCAGCCCTCTTATTGTAATCTTGACTCATGACTACTCTTCTGGGAACTCCCAGCAGGGACTCATTATTGGTCCCTTCATCTCAGTAAATAAATATTCTTTTCTTCTATTCTGATGGTGGGTCCCAATGCAATAGGTCCATAAAGCTCTTCTCTCTCTGTCTCTGTCTCTGTCTCTGTCTCTGTCTCTCTCTCTCTCTCTCTCTCTCTCTCTCTCTCTCTCTCTCTCTCTCTCATTTTTTGGCTAAGGTGGCTGGTAGTTAAATTCCTTCCCAAGATCCTAAGAATTTGCTTCAGCTCATAAAGCTGCATAAGATGCTGACTTCAAAGAAGAGCTAGTTCCAGCTTCTTCAATAACAGCGACTCCAGTGAGTTCTTTTCTAAAAAGAAGGAAAATGTTATTGTTTAGTGGATTTGTCTGAAGGTTTGGAAGCCAGGAGTTGAAGATTCAGTGTAATTATTTTTTGGAGAGATATTCTTTCATCTCCCTTGCCTTAAATGCTGAGCTTAGCTGTAATTTCACAGAACATTCCATGATAATTTTCTAAGGCCTTGGTTGATATTTAGGAGCGTATAACCTAGAGTTATAGCTCTCATTGAGCAAGGGCTCTAGAGCTCACTTTGCTTGTTATTTTACTGCCTGACTTAGTAGCAGTAGGTAAGTAAGTAAGGCTAGGTAACAATAAGAAACACATCATTCTGTGTATGTCGTTTTGCTTCCCTAGTATAATGTTCTTAGTACACTAAAAATGCAAGAGCTTTAGCTATTTCTCTCTATCTTATGTATATGGAGCCTTTTGTTAAATTCTGCTCTGCAAATCCCCTTAACCAATTTCCGGTTTTAGCTAATATGAAGGTGGGTGTTGTGAATTTGAAATCTAACATCGGAAATCTTCTTATCTTTAGCAAAACACCTTGAGGAAGATCACTTTAAATATGTATTTTTTACATCTTAGCTTCCTTTAAAACTCTGTATCATGGAAAATGTCAAAAGTAAAGGCAAAGTCTATTTCCTGTACCCAGCTTCCACCTTCAACAATTAGCTATTGGGCACCAAACCTATACCATTTATATCCCCATACATTTCCTGTCATTTCCAGATTATTTTGAAGCAAATCCCAGATACCATATCATTTCATTCATCATTATCTCACATGTATTTAGAGTGACAATTTAATGATAGAAATGTAATTCTCAGGTTATGGCCAGTTCTGAAAGTCAAGAGAGGGGTTCCGAGGGTCTTAGAGTAGAACCCTAACCTGTACATTAGGAGGGAATATACCTATTTCAGAAGATGCTAGGATTAAATAAGTTAATGCATTAGAAAATCTTTGCAGCTTTAAAAAGTGGTATATAATTGTAAGGTAGCATCAGTTATATAAAATGACATATTCTTATGTTAAAAGGGTAGTTCATGATGCAACTTGCTGGCTACTGCTAATTTGTCCAAGTAGAATTGGCATCAGTGTGTATGTGTTTTAGTCATGAGGTTGATACACATTTATTGGCCACCTGTTGTAGCCAACCTCAAGCAGTGCCCTCCTGGAGCACTCAGTGTTTTATGGACCATAGAGAAATGCTTAACTGCAAAACAAGGCTTATATTACTGTTTCAGATTCAAGTATTACCTTTTCCTCATGTGTTATTTGAAGCCTACTGATAATCTTTCCTTTAAAGATTAATCAAATGTAAATCAAAAGGAAAATTCATGTGTCAGTTTCTTTTCTCTCATTTTTGAGAAAAAATACTTGATGCCCAGAATTAAGGAAAGAAAGCTTTATTTAGCTCACAGTTTGTGGACGTTTCAGACCATACTTGGCTGGCTCTGAGGCAGAGTGCCACATGGTAGAGGGCAGCAGTTCATGGCGGTGGAAAACAGCAAAGGCAACAAGAGCGAAAAGGGAAGAGAGGCAGAAAGCAAGTCTCTTTCCCTCCTTTGTATTGTATGCAGCCTACAGGCTGCCCATCCTAGGGTGGATGTAACATGTGCATCCATAATCTCAGCACTGGACCATGAGTGAGTCATAAACTCTAGAAGCCCGCTCCATGACTGCATGAAGCTTTGGGGGATGAAATCTGGACACAAACCATAACAATGCAATTTTATTAAAGAGGAAAGCAAGAATTGTTATTGTATTTTAGCAGAGAAAGCATACAGTTAACTGGCATTCTCACTGGGTATCAATTATTATTTTTTAAAGCATATGTGCCAGTGTTGCCAGAAAAATTATAGATGTAAAATGTTATCTCTTTTTTCTTAAGCAGAATTATGATTGTTTCATTTCAAATATAGTAACATATTCTCTCAGAGCAGTTAGTATCAATAATGCAGGTACACAAGCCAATGATAAGTGATGGTCAAATGGAAGAGAAATTAGTGGGTTCTGTGAATGTATGAATTCCCAGAACCAGGGCCTGGGGGGATAGCTCAGTAGAGTAAGCATTTGCCTGGCAAGTGCAAGGGCCCAAGTTTAATCCCTGGTTCCTCCAAAAATAAATAAATAAATACATACATACTATGATTTATGATTTGTACTAATAGTGTTTGGATAAGATATCATGTCTACATCTTGTACTATGAATAACCAGTATGAAGACAACAATATGCAATGTATTAATTACTGAAACTGTCCTGCTAATCAGTTTTGAAACTGTCTTATTGCTATTTGTTTCTCAATAAAATTAATTTTAAAAAAATGAATTCTCAGAACCAAGAAGGAGGAGACCCACTGTGAGTTACTGAAATTTTTCACATTATTTGGTAAGCAAACAGTTGACAAGAAACTGTCAAAACATTTAAGGTTCCTATGTATTCTCACATTTTTCGCTCATTCTTCATAATGGCAATTTTCTTAATAGGCTATTAAAAACAAGTACAGATACATATTTCCAACAGTCAGAGAAGTCTTCACTAGTAAAATTCACTGCTGTGTCCAGTGGTTTACCCACCGTGAAAGGGAAGGAAAGCATTCCTTTGGAAGAATGTTAGCCTTCTTAATTTTTATAGTTTAAAGTAAGAGACCCATAAAAAGAACACCAAGGTGAGAATAATAAGAATTACTCAGAGTAAGACAAGGAATAATTTTACTTAAATGTCAATAATTAAAAGGCTGTTGGAATAAAGAGAACACTGAGGCATTGTAATAGTCAAAACCAGGACGAGTGTTTTGGTGCTGTTGGCCATTTGTTGAACACACAGAGTTATCTCTTCAGAGACAGAGAAATTAGCATAGCCATGTCCAAAATGTATACTCTTTTAGACTTCACCAGCGAATAGAAGGATGAGCAGTAAAGAAACCTATGCTGGAAAAAAACTGTATAATCAGTGGAAAACGTTTCCATTTCATTCACATTTTTAGAATTTTGTACATGCAGCTTTACAGTAATATTTACAAAGATGCATAAAGAGTACACCTATGTGCACAGGTGGCACTGAGCTGAACATTCCAGGGAGATTGAGAGTGATCCTGGTGGAAGTGCTTGCACTGTGAGATTTATAGGGATTACAGCTTCTTCAATGCTGTTTAACAGGAAGTTTATCTTTATCACCTGTTTTTAAAGCTGAACAGTGGGTTCCTTTTCTACTAGTTTATTAAGTTCCTTCAGTTTGGAATCTACTTTCACATCCATAAGCATCTGTCCAGGAGCAATACAGAGAGAGAAAGATTGAAAATGCTTGCGGTCTCTAATTAATAATGAAAGAACAAGAATCTGCTGGATGTCTTCTGAACATAAGGTATCATGCGTGATAATCTGAGGATTATTAGAAATTACGATTGTCCCATGATTATACTTTGCAATATGCTTAGGAAGGCAGAAAGGATAAGCACTCTCAGGAAGACTCCTAAGGATAGAAGAGAATTTTAGTAAATATCAATGAGATATGCAGACATATTTTAGGGAAGTTCCCACAGTAAACAGGAAAGATCAGATTTTGATGACTGAGTATGGAAGTCATTCATGGATGAGAAATAACAGATAAGGCTTAAAAGCTCCAGACATACATACACAGCTCACTTAAGACTAAGAATGAAACTGAGAAATAGCGTTTTGCATTATTTAGTTCAGTACCCAGCGAGGAAGCCAGGCGGTTAGAGGCGTGTCTGTGGTCAAGCAGCAAGGTCAGGACTATCCAAGGACTGAAGCTTAGGTTTGCAACTTCCAATGAGTCTTTTTATAGGAATGGTTTCAATAGTCAGGGGGAAAAAAAAGATTTGTGAGTAG